GCCCGCGGGACCGGGTGTCAGTGCTGCCCGTGACCGCTCGCTTCTTCCTCTCCAGAAAAGCACCGGGGGTTCGCCTTCATCGAGTTCGAGCTGGCAGAGGTGAGACAGGGCAAGTGTCCGGGTCGCTTCCAGCCGGGGGCTTTAGGCTGGAGCCTGCTCCTGGTGGATGCGGTTGGTGGCAGCAAACGGGTGTTACCTCCGGTGCTCCTCTGCTTTTCCAAGTTCCCACTTTCTTACGGGCTGAAGCACAGCCAGTGCTCGCCTGAGCTGCTCCTGGAGCTCGGCAGCAGCAGGCGGGGTTCTTTGAAAAAAAAGGTTTCTTGGCTTCATGACCGTTTGTGTATTTCATAGACTCACAGCCTGGTTTGGGTTGGAAAGGACCTTAAAGCTCATCTGTTTCCAACCCCCTGCCCCGGGCAGGGACACCTTCCACTAGAGCAGGTTGCTCCAAGCCCCTGTGTCCAACCTGGCCTTGAACACTGCCAGGGATCTTATAGTCTGTCCTGGGCTTCATACACAAGATCTCTTTTTCTCTCCCAAACACTGATGTCAGCAATAAAACATCTTAGATAAAATGGGTTTATGGGATCAAATGTGGGAAGAGGAGCCCCACATACTGGATTGGATACAGCTCCCGCAAGATCCATTGGTTCATGTATAGATGAGGTTTAGGAACACAGTCCCTGGACAGCCTTTTTTGCAGCAAAACACTGGGGCATGTATGTGCTGAGCTTTGCTTTGCAAGGGAGAGAAGAGGTGATGTAATAATGATCTTCTTTCACCTCTTTTGGCAGGATGCAGCAGCAGCGATTGACAACATGGTAGGGACCCTGTTACCCGTGGGGATAAGTGGCTTTGCTGCCTTCCCAGCAGCATGGAGTGAGGCCCTGTGTGGTGTGGGCTACACCAAGAGCACCGTGGTTCTCCTGTGGGGGGAGTTGAGGGGCACAGTGATTTTTATACCCTTTGGTGGGCTTTGTTGTGCTTTTCTCCTTGGCAGAACGAGTCCGAGCTCTTTGGCAGGACAATTCGGGTGAACTTGGCCAAACCCATGCGGATTAAAGAAGGATCATCCAGACCTGGTGAGCTGGTGTCTGGGAGGGGAGAACATCCCCGTGGGTGTTCAGAGCATCGTGCATCAGCCTTTGCTTTCCCCAGACCCTGGGGCAGAGGCCTCCGCTCTGCTTCCCATCTGGGGAGCTCACGGGTCTGAGCAGCATCCACATAACTTAATAACCACATAAGCCAAAATGGTCCCTTGTTTCTTGGATGGAAACACTCTTGGCTGCACTTCTGGCTGTCTTCATGCCCTCTGACAGAGGGCACAGCATGCACACTGTGCCAGGCAAAATTGCACACACGTCTGTCCACAGCTGTAAAAGCAGATGGGGCCACGGCCATGCCAAGCACTCATGCAGTGTGATGGGTAGTGGCAGCACACAAGCTTGCCCTGCGTGGTGGCACCTCTGGGAGGAAGAAGAGGTGACTTTGTCTCTTCTTTGCCCACATGCTGTGTCTCTTGGGGTAGGCTGCACCCTGACCTGTGCAGGCATGTGTGTGTGCTCACGTGTGTGCTCATGTGTGTGCTCACGTGTGTGCTCATGTGTGGTCCTTTGCTTCCTATGCTCTGACCCTTCCTTTTGCCATCGCAGTCTGGTCAGATGATGACTGGCTGAAGAAGTTTTCAGGGAAGACTTTGGAGGAGAACGCAGAGGAGGGAGGAGCAGAGGCTCCCAAAACAGACGTGCAGGAGGTAGGAAAACCGTACAGAGCTGTCTGTATCCCTAATGTCCTGAAGGCTGAGAGTAAGGCCTGAAAGCCTCTGCAGGCAAAGCAGAGGAATGTCATCCCACCTTGTTGTCTTTTCCTGCTCAGGGTGAGCCTCCTGCCAAGAAATCCCGGGTCAACCCTCAGGTTTACATGGACATCAAGATCGGAAACAAACCTGCGGGGCGGCTGCAGATCCTCCTGCGCTCGGATGTGGTGCCCATGACCGTAGGTGAGGATTGGTTCAGCATCCCCAGCGTGGTGCCTTCCAGCAGACACAGCTCTCACCTCTCTCCCCTTGCCCCGTACAGAGAATTTCCGCTGCCTCTGCACCCATGAGAAAGGCTTTGGCTTCAAAGGGAGCAGCTTCCACCGCATCATCCCCCAGTTCATGTGCCAGGCTGGTGACTTCACCAACCACAATGGCACCGGAGGCAAATCCATCTACGGGAAGAAGTTTGATGATGAAAACTTCATTCTGAAACACACGGGGCCAGGTAGAGCCATCTCCTGGGCAGCGGCTGGAGAGCAACGTGGCTTAATGTCACCTAGGGGCCACATTTGGGCTGGTTTGATAGACTGTGTTGATAGTAGCAGCCCTGAATTATAATCTAGGTTGGCAAAACACTTCTGGTGTTCACACACGGTTAACTTCCAGTGTTGCATAATAGAAAAAGAGTTTCAGAGCTGCTTTCCTTTGATTTTAAAGGAGTCACAGTGTGATTGTGAAGCACAGCAAAAAGCAAGCAGGTTTATCTCCGTGCAGACAGCTTATCTATTACTGCGACTAAAACCAGATGAACAATCTCTACCACTTTCCATCTTTCATGCTTGCAGGTGTTTTTCTGTTGACATAATTGGTTTTCAAGAGTTTGTGGAGTTTAATATCCAGAAGCTCTCTTAAAACTCGCACTGTTTTGCAGGGTGTGGGAATGGGTTTGGGTCAAATCATCAGCTCACGTGCTGGAGCTCATTGCTCCCCCCGCAACCAGAACTCTGCCCTTTTTGATCCCAGGGCTGTTATCGATGGCAAACTCGGGCCCAAACACCAACAGCTCCCAGTTCTTCATCACGTGTGAGAAAACAGACTGGCTGGACGGGAAGCACGTGGTGTTTGGGGAGGTGACAGAGGGCATGGACGTGGTGCGGCAGATCGAGGTAAGTGTGAGCAGAGCCAACCTCCTTCCCACCCCTGGGCTTTGTGCCTCTAACTCCTGCTCTTTTCCCCAAGGCTCAGGGCACTAAAGATGGGAAACCGAAGCAGAAGGTGATTATTTCAGACTGTGGAGAGTGCCCCTGAGCTCGGCTCTTGCAAGGCCTGAGCCCGGCCAGGAGGGGCTGGGGCCCGGCTGGGGCAGGGTTGCCCCGTGGTGTCCCTGCAGTGCCCAGCTCCCGCGGCTCCTGGGGTGATTCCTGCTAAGCTTTTGGTGTGAACATGCCCACGGACCGTGTTGCAGGGTCCGATCCCTGCGGGGATGAACTGCTTCCAGCCCACGCTGCCCCGAGCAGGGCAGGGCTGGTCCTGCTGCTGTGTTCAGAAGGACTTGGTTTGGTAAAAATAAAACCTAGTTTTACGAATACTGAGGGCCTGCCCCCGGCTGCTGAATTCTCACTGGGTTGAGGATGGTCCTTGCTTTGGAGTGAAGACGCTGGGTTTTGGTGTTTTCCTCATCTTCTCAAATCTGGTGCCTAAATCCTGGCTCCATGGGAACTACGTCAGCCGGGGTGAGAAGAGCTGAGGGAATCTCTCATGCCTTTTCCACATCAGGATCTTGTGGAGGTGTTTTGGCATGTGGCCGGCCCTGTAGTCTACTTTCCCATCAGCAGAGGGAGGCAGGTCCATGGCTGGTGACTGTCCTGGTGGGAAGCCAGCCTGGTCTAACTCCATCCCCATCTGAGAGGGAGGGCATTTACTGGGATGTGAGTGGGAGAACAGGGTTGGGACAAGCAGCTCCAGGAAATGAAGAAGCCCTTTGTTTGGTTGTCAGAAGAACAAAACTAAGTGATGAGGCTGTGGGAAGTGGTTTAGTTTTCAAAGTGGGAATAGCCATGTACATTTATAGTTTCCATCAGTGGGAAAGTGATCAATTTGGGGTTTCCTAGGAAATAATGGTGCTGGATACATCTGGAAATGTATGTTCCTGGGGAGGAAGGGATGTGTGGGGTTGGAAGCAGGGATGGGGGGTGCGTAGCTGGAGTTTAGGGAGATGTTTTCTGTGCTATTGGGAATTCTCAGGTTTGCCAGCCTGGCTGCTCCCAGGTGAGGTTTATTTACCATAATAAACATTGGCTGCTTCTATTCAATTTCTGCTTTTCCACACTAGTTGGGGGTTGTGTGTTGCCCTACAACTGGGACAAGGCGAGATCCAGGCACTCAGATGTGATACCTGACAAACAGCCAAACCCACCCAGCGTTTCCTTCCCTTGCCCCCTCCTTGTCTTCAAAAAGCTGACATTTAAAGGCCAAGTCCTTGCAGTCACCTTCAACAACACCTGAGCCAGGGGGAGCCCTTGCTCCACAGGGGAGTCACTGGAAGCCTTGGCCTTTCTCTTGCTGCACAGAGCCATGATCACATCCTGAGCTGGATTTCACGTGGAATTAAGTCAGCAGATCCATTCTTCGCAAAGAAGTGAGACGTCTCCTTGGGAAGCAGGGCACTGGCACGGAGCAGGTCTTATTTTGGTGGATTTATTGGGATCTTTGCCTGTGGCTAAGCCAGGTTATTCGTTTAGTGGCACAAGGTTCCCTGGGTACCCGAGCTGAGAGGCCAGGCCCTTTCCTTTCAAAATCAGAGCAAGTAAGTAAGAACTGTGCAAACAGCGCAGGGAAGCTGCGGCCACAGCCCAGTTGGGAGCCCACAGATCGTGTCCATGGGTGAGTGCAGCCACACTCCCATCAGGGTGGCACAGCCTGACCTTAAACCTGCATCCCACCAGCTTGGCAGGGCTGGTTTTGGGCAAATAGCTACACTTTTAGCCAATGCTGAGTGTTTTTTCATTGCAAAATCCCATGCTCTGAACAGAGAGCTGCTGTGCTGTGACATTTATCAAAAGACAAAGAACAAGAGAAACTCCCTGTTTGCTTTCCAGACGAGGTGTTTATTTTATAACAGTGTTGTAGCTCAAGGTGGATTCTGAGTTTTTCTTCTCCCCACTGCCTGAGGTTTATGAACTGGAAATAAACAGGAGCAGGGGAGGCAGCCGGCTCCTGCCTGCTGGTGTTTTCAGCAAGGGTACAAGGTGGGCAAGGTGGATGAACAGGATGTATCGCTCCATCCCAGAGCAGCTCGACTGCTGCCTCTCTTTCCCGCGTTACCCCTGAGGCCAAACTGCCTCCACCAGAGGCTGCAGCGAGGGGAAAACACGTCAGCCACAGCCAACGCAGACACGTAACCAGTCACAAATCCTCTCTTTCCTCTATATATGTATATATGGATGTGTCTCATTAAGTGTAGTAAGAGAATAAAAGCTTTATATTATTTACATCCACTTCTAGGAAGGGGTAGGAGAGGTTTATTTTTATTTTCATTGTTATTAATGGACTTTGCTATGATGTAGTCCATGGAATTCCTCTTCACGTTGCTCTGGGGGTGATGGGACGTGGCCATCAGTGGCAGCCACACGACTTCACCACCATGTTCCGGTGCTTCTTGAGGATGACGTTGTTGTTGCTGTCATAGTAGAGGACCGAGGTGGCACTGAGCTTCGTGGGGGCACAGCACGCCTTGGGCACGGCCTCGGGCTTCATCAAGTGGACCTAAGGAATGGATGGAGCCTGTCAGTGCCAGTGGATACGGCTCCAGGCAGGAGAAGAAGTATCAAACCAGCTCTTAACTGCATAAAAAGCCTGGGTGAATGGGGAGATTATTTCTGGCTTCCTGCAAAAATATTTATTCTAAGCCCTGGGCAGCTCTTGCTGCAGTTTACGTTGGATCAGGGCTTGGGGCACTGCTCGGGCCAGGCAGCCCCTGCAGTAATTTGGGATTTCTGGGCTCTTTTCTCCCTGTAAAGAGGCAAATGGCTAAAAAGGAATAAATCAGGGCAGTGCAGATCTTCCCCGTGTGCTTTGGGGGTGCTGCTGCAATAGGGATTCTCCATCAGGGCTCAGCGCTGCCCCACATTGAACACATTGCACTGAAACCTTACAGACATGACACCTCTGACCACTCCTTCAGCTCCTTCATCCCCTGCTCAGGACATCCGTTATCCCAGGGATCCACTGCAGGCCTCTGCCCCTACCCACCATGTGCGACTCATTCCGCACCGCCGCGCTCTCCCGGCTCGGAAGTCTGGGGTTTTCCTGCCCAACGCTGCTATTTGCAGCACGGGCTGGGGCTGGCACCGCTCCTGTGCCCCGGCGCTTCCCAGAAGGGCTGGATCCGGGTGCCAGGTGAGTCACATCCTGCCCAAACAGCTCCATTTCGGGAAGA